GACACTTTGATCTTGATCGTGCAATCTAAGTCGCAATGAAGGACTATCGTCAATGCGGCTGGAGCCGCTAGATCCCACAGCAGCGATCTTCAAACTGATAAACCAACCTTTCACTTCTCATATGGGGAATCATCCACATGAGGACCAGAAGACGGCATTCTAAGGCTATATAGAGCCCTTATCCAAGAAATGAGCTATCTTGCTTAGCATACCTCACCCAAAGCTATTTGAAGTAAGGGATTCACCTGCCTGCCTTAGACAGAGCTTTGTATAGCCTAGCGCTTCGCGCCTTCACTTATGAACTAGAACCATCCCACAGATCATCTTTCAAAACCTGACTTGAAACTCTTTCTCGCCTAACTAAGCGTCAGTAGCTTAGTGCCTTATGAACATTGATTTGCCCTCGAGTAGCTGAACTAGGGGAACTCAAAACTAGCTACTAGGAAAAAAAGACCACTATTTGAACATCAAGCTTGTGGACAAGTTGCTTCCCTTTCTGTGCTTTTACGCTGGCCTCTTCGACCTTTCTTGGGTTCACTAGAAATGTCATCAAAGCTCTCTCTTCCTATCCGACCTAAGGCAGCCATCAAACCCTGTCGGATAGAAGTCTACTATAACCGGCTCATCTGTTTACCCGAGTTAGACCGCTAGCATCTTACCAACCATCTTCAGTCCCTACCCCCATCTTTCTCTATCCCGTCACGAGCAATCGAATTTTTGGAAATGTGAAAGAAATTTTCGGTTAGAGAGCTCATTCAAGCTTGAGGCTTGTTCGGAAAAATCCAATTGCGCTCGCCTGATGCCCTATCTTTCGCCTAGGTGGAGAGTAGGCCCATTCGACAACCATAATAGGCTCTATAACTGGATCACGCACGCTAAGAACACAGCGGATTAGAGGGGACAAGAGGTTCCACTCATCAAAGTGTGAGACGCAAAGCTTCTGCCTAGAAGCAAGCTACCCTATTTGCCACTTTCAAATCAATCCCACGAGTCTCTTATCCATTCTCATTGAGAGACGTCGGGGGAGCA